GAGAAAGGGTCATCACATGTGAAATTCCACTCCAAGACGCAGTCCCGAAAGTGGCACAAGAAATCCCCATCGTCATGAATCAAACTAGGGTAGATGATCCCTTCAATCCATACTTCCAAATTAACATAATAAATGATTCACATATGTGTGACAACGAATCAAACTCGCAAAAGCAAATTGGAATCGAGCATTAGCTCAACCAAGGCTCCGAAGTTTATGGTCTCCAAGTTCACGATGGTAAAAAATCCCTTTGTTTTGGAATTATTACTCTTAAGAAAATAGAGGAGCAAATTCTTCAAGAAAACTTATCTCCTAAAAAAACCAAAGGAAGATGATTTTTTAGAACTCTTAAGAGGCCCACCTGAGCCACCTTCACCAGACGTTCTCTCCAACCCACCTATATGGGATGAGGAACTAAGTTTAGAAGATTTAATCGAGTCACCCTTTGAGATGAACCCAGTTATAGATGATGGAGAAGCAAATAGCCCAGATTTGACTATTCCAAAAGATTTGACAGTAGAGTCGAAAGAGCTCGAACCTTTGGAAATTATAAGGGGGTCACCCGGGCCACCTTCACAAGACTTTGTGAATGATTCGCCCATCTGAGATGAAGAACGAAATATTGAAGACAAAAATGAGTCATCTCCTAAAGAGGAGGGATTTTTAGATGATAACTAGGGCAAGAGCACAACTCGGATAACTGGGGCATCCCCATACAAGAAAGTTCATCTCTGCAATCCCATCAAATTACTTAATAAAGGCAATCTCCTCACATGAAGAGGGCACAACAAGGGCAGTTATTGAGATTGAACCCTTGTTTGTTAACTCCCAATATGCCATAAGTCCATCCAATATTAACTCAGTCACTATTCTTGTGCGAGAGTCTCACCCGAGCTTAAGCACTGAGAATGAGACTATTACCAAATTAACTCCTGAAAAGAAACACAAAATTTGGAATGAAAGAGACAATCGAAAATGAGTTGGGTGATCACTCACCCCTTGCAAAAAACCAAATGGGGCATTCACACCTCGAACTTCAAAAAGCATTAACTCCTAATGAGTAACATAAATTATCTCATTAATAGGGAAAACCTAATGAGCTTGTCTGTCCACACAAAAGATTGAGGGATTAGGAAACTAAGAGTGATTCTTAGTCCCAAAATCAAGGTTCAAGTGGAGCAATTCAATAGATAAATCCAAGGGAACTCGACAACCATTGTCAAAGAGATATTGGATGCCAACATAGGGCAAGAGAAATTAGATGATAACTGATATTAGAATCTCCCTGCCACCTGGATAAGGGAAAGATGATCAAATTCTTACATAGTCTTAAAGCGAAATGCCAGAAAAAAGCACCATCGGCTTTTCTCCTTCTCCTTCGTCATCTTTTTCAAAAATAAAGAAAAAGTTTCACTGAGCTGAAGATCCAAAAGGAACCCCAAGCATTAAAAAAAAAAAAGGCAACAAAGATGAACACTAGAAAGGGACCCTGGGGTGATGAAAAATAAATAAAAAAATAAAATTTGTTGGGTTTAAAATCTGAAAAGAACCCCAAGCATTGGAAAAAAGGCTACCGGGCTGAACACCGAAAGGGACCTCGGGGTGATGAAAAATTTCTCATTTTCTTCTATTTTCTAAAGTCTTTTCTCTCTAAACATCTTCTCTTCCTTCTTCCCGTGTCAGAATGACGTCAAAAGAAAAATCAATGAGCATTAGCCTGATAAAACATTATTAAGGACCTTGATCATTTGGACTTCGAAAGGTAAATTGTGGAGGAATGAAATCAGAAATCCAAAGAGATTCTGAGTACCAAGGGGCAGTATCGTATGTTCTTCAAGACTCTGTTTTGCTCGAAAACTCCGAATAACTCTCCTTTGAATTGAAATTCAAGAGCTGACGTTGGAAGATAAAGAAATAGTTGATGATTCCTCATCCTGAAGATTCAAGTAAGGACCCGATACGCTTATATAGGGTCCACCAATGCGGGTCACAAGTGGTTAAACTGTAAGACCCACATTTAGATAATTATAATAAGAATAATCTTAAAATTTTCATTTCAAAACTTTTATTTTAAAAAATAGTCCATGGTGTTATTAGGATAACTGCCAATTACCCTGTCCAATGCTGCATGGCGTTAAACTTCTTAGAGGGTCTTACAAAATATCTTTCTCATTTCAAAATTTTCAAAATTTATTTTCAAAAATATCTTTCTCATTTCCAAATTTTCATTATATGTCTTGTGTTTTCAAAAACCTTAATTTCTTTCTTAAAATCGTAACCTATCAAAGTTTTGAGTTCTATTTCAAAATTCCCCCCTTGTTTTCAAAATTTCTAAAAATACTTTTAAAAACTAAGGAGCTTGGACACCCATATATTATGATTACCGCATTGCCACCTCATCTCTCTCTTCAAAATTGACCGGGCAAACATTTTCCTAAACAAGAAAAACCTACAGAAGGCCTTAGGAAACCCTAAGGGGAAAAAAAAAAATGGCAGTTTCAAATTTTGAAATTGTGAAAACCCCTGAAGTTAAGTGGCATGGCTAGAAAATCCAACTCGTGTTTCAAGCTTGCGTAATTCATCGAGATCTCACACCGAAAACCTTAGAATGAAATTGCCCTAGGTGGGTGAGCAGGGAGTGCAATGTCTTGGAGCGATAGTTGGTATGCCCTCTGACTACGAAACATCAGGGTGAAATTTAAAATATCTGCATTATATTTGCCACTCATCTACGCCTTGAAGGACAGAGAGCGCCAAAGAGTGTCCACTTCTTTGTCACTCATCTGTCCCTCGAAGAACAGGGAGTAGCAAAGAGCGGCAACTATAGACACCCCATTTTTAAAACTGACAAATTTTATTATACTCTTGAACCCTTAGGTCCACATTATCCCAGTAAACTCCCAAACCATAGACCATCGTAGTATGTGATCCCTATCCTGTGACCCAAAATCCAACAATACCATTGTTTTAGTAATAAATCACGAAAAAATAACAAAATAGCTTATTTACCTGATTTTTGGTAGGCAATATCACAAAAATGTAACTGCTAATTTTGATCAGATTTGGGCTCCCTTTGATCCCCAAAATGGAAATTTGGCTGGTAAATCTGCTTAAAATTATCCATCTTAGTATGATTTGAGTCTTTATATAAATACAGTATGTGATCCATTTAGGGTGAGACTTTGTTAACCCATAGGTCAGGAAATCAAAGACCTGAGAAAACGTAGACTTAGAAAAACCCTAGCTTTAAGCCACTTGGAGCCCTTAGATCAAGAAATCCATCCAACTAAGCCAAGACCTTGTCAAAACCTGAAAAGAGACAAAGATGACACATGATATAAACTAGTCTGTCCTGATATGGGCGAGGCCTCGAAGCCTCGAGAGTCCTGGGCCAACTGGCTCGGTCTGGTACATTTTTACTCTTTATTTTGTTTTTTTTATTTTTGTTTATTCTATTATAATGAAATTAGTTTTATTACTTTTTACATAGTATTTCATGCTCTTTGGTTCGATACTGGATCTGCCACTGATATGAGAGCGGATCTATTCATATTTTAATAGATTTGGCCTCTGATCATAATTTGATTTTCTCACTCTCTATCACTTTTTAAAATCAATTTGTGATGTTCAAATATGAGGGATCTTGCTCTAAAGATCTCTTTGATGTTCATCGTAAACAGTTTGGCGCCCACCGTGGGAATCTAAGATACATAAATCGCTCTCATCACTTTCATACCTATGAAAGCAGCAAAGCCATGTTTCTCTTTATCAAGTAATTTATACCATGCAAGTAACTTTCACAAGAAAACTTAATTCACATCACACTTTCTAAACAGGAAATTGCCTATCGGATTGGGAATCAACATGGACCGAATTAATTCTAGGAGGGATTTAGTGTTGGCTTGGTCTTCCCCCTCCTTTATATTTTTCCCTTTTCTATTAGTTTATCTAAAAAAAATTTAGGCTACCAAAAATCATCCCCTACCGTATTTTTTTTTTATTTTTATATATTTTCTAGATCACCAATTAAAACTAATCACGATAGTATGCCGACAAGTGGGGTTAAATGAACCCCAATACATAGCCTTTCATGGGAATTTGGATTAATCCCCTCTCTATATAGCCTTTTGGGTTAATCGCCTCTCTAAATTGCAATGATGGTGGGCTCCCTTGTGGAGTACCACATGCCATGCACACTATTGTGTGCTTCTTTGTCGGAATATGGAGCACTTACCCTTACCTTAGGAGTTTGGGTGAATTTCCGGTGATTTTTCTGGTTTTTTTTATTGACACGTGCTCATTTTCATTTGACTTTCCTTTTTTAGGATTTTTTTCTTTGTTTGGATGACTTTATAACAAAAGAGAAAATAAAAAATAAAAAAGGTGGCCGCTTGCTTGGGTTCATGGTATACATACATCAGGTTCCTTGCTTTCTACTCTCATTTCAGTCGAATAAATGTGGCTTCCTCAGTGTTTTTTCCCAATTCAATAGTTTTTCATTCTCCATGGTCCATAGTGGTCGTGCGATATTTACATTGGAGAGCATTCGTAGTGGATCTCGGCATTATTGGTTGCTTCCCCACATCGTGCCTCACTGGATGCACGGGCGCTGTGGGCCCGTAAGGCCTCATCTTGGCGTCGTGTGCCTTCATGGAGTTGGGCTAAGGGGTATTCACTGGCGATCCTGGCCTGCAGGCTTTTGGGATTGAGGGTATGGCCGGGCTTTTGGTAAGCCCGGTGTAATTTCGAGACCTAAATTTTTTCGTACAGTTTTAAAATAATATTTTCCTGCATTAATAAAAGGCCGGGTTTGGCCTGGCTAGATTTTTTTGTTTCGAACCTTGTAGACAAGATTGCGAACCGGACTCAGGTCGGGCTAAAAATTTATTTTTTGGGGGCCAGACTACCATTCATGTGTAATGAGGCATCGCGGGGCCCAGCCATTGTTGAGCTTGTGAGTTTCATGTGTGCGGATCGAGGCCATCGCGCACATCTTTGTTTGCAGCCTGAATCCCACCTACCGAGGAAGAACTAAGGCCTCAGGCTGAAAAAAAAAAGAAAAAGAAAGAAAGAAAGAAAGAAAGGTGAATAACTACAGGAAGGAAAGAAGAAAGGAGGAGGAGACAATGTGTAAGGTGGTCCCCCTCCCCCGAAACGCCCATGAGGGTGCTTAAGCAAGGAGAAAACGTCATTGCCTGTGAGTGAGGTTGCAAGGCACATTAAGAAGCATGGGAGCTTCACTTCATAACAAATTTCTCTGTAATTCTTCTTCTTCACCTTTTCCAACTACTCTTGTTTAATTTGCCCTTTCTTGGAAATTTTAGGAGTAAAGGAAAATGAGGAAGTGTAGACCAGCTCTTGCCCTGATCATATTTCAAAGCTGTTTTGCTGTGATGGTTATCCTCACCAAAGTAGCATTTCGGCGAGGGATGAGCCCTACAATCTTTGTTACCTATAGGCAGTTAATCGCCACCGTCGCTATTGCACCTTTTGCTTATTTCCTAGAAAGGTACTCTCTCTCTCTCCCTCTCAAACTCTCTGTGAACTCAGTAGTTGCATTTGTTTTCTCACCATTCTTTGAGTCATCTCAGCGTACTCCACAGTTCTCTTCCTCTCTCAATATTATCTTTGGAATTATGTAGGAAGACCAGACCTCCCCTGTGCCTGAAAACAGTGGCCCACATCTTCGTAATTGGACTACTGGCGTGAGCACCAGCAAAGCTCTATTTGTGTTCCTCGCATTCATTTGTCATGAACATGAGCACTTATATACCATTATACTTCCATTGCAGGGTTCCTCTTCTCCAAATATCATATTTTTATGGGGTTTCTTACACTTCATCGACTTTTGCAGTCGCAATATTGAATCTCCTACCGGCTATTACTTTTGTATTGGCCATTATCCTAAGGTAGAGACACTCACTATAATTTAGTCACTGATGTTTTGGTTTTTCTCCCTTCAACATGCCAATAACTCGGCACTTTTGTTATCATTTCACCTAACATTGCAAACTATTCATTTTTTAGAAGGGAGAAAGTGAATGTAAGGAATGCGAGGGGACAAGCAAAGATTGTGGGTACCATAACTTCTGTTGGAGGTGCCACGATCATGACATTGATTAAAGGTCCTACACTGGGGTTCCTTGACTTTCTTAAGAAACCCACACCTCTTTCCCGTCTCTTGGATACCACTCCAGGCAATACTCCAAAAGACAATTGGACCTTGGGTCCAATTTTAATAATTGTGGCTGTCATTGCATATGGTGCATGGTTGCTTTATCAGGTAATCCAAACTTTATAGTTATTAACTTTTTGTTTTTCTGGGGAAAATATCATTTAAGGTGTAGAAATCCTTTATAAAATCACTAAGAGGTTCAAAAGAAATCTACTAATATGAGAGCATTACTTTTAAATTTTTATTTTACTGGGATACCTCCGCAAAAGTTATCTTCAAATATTGCCAAAATCGCCTTTATTCATACTTGAAACCCTGAAGAAGCAATGGCATTTTAGGGATCTCGCCAAACTTTTGGGGTACTCTCCTCATTTGGGTAGAACCCCTTAGGCGTGTCAAATTTCTAAAATTCCCTTGTTCAGGGTTCCATGAGTAGGGCCAATTTATGTATTTGGGAGGACATTTTTGAGGAAGTCCTTCAGTGAAACAAAAATTAAAATACAAAACCTCTAATGCTAAATAGGATGTTTGACCCCAGTAATGAATATAAGGGGTTATGACCCCTTATGAAGGATATTTTTCAATTTTTTTTATTT